CTAACAAAGATTATACAAGGTGTCATCTGTATATAAAATGACTGGCTCAAAGTAGGTAGTCAGTAAGAAGGAGCTATTATTACTAAGCATCTAAGATGTACATTCTTCCCCACATTTTAATGTTGTTGAATCAGTTTATGTCTTACAATCCACATGTAAATTGATTGATGCAGTGTTTTTTCCTTTGCCAATCAGTTATTAAATGGATGGCCCATCTCAAATGGATGGCCATGTGCAAACATGGTATAACTTATTTTATAACAAGACTCAAAAACCCTCAGCATGTCAACGACCTGGAGAATGTGGTAGGAAAAAGGGAGAGTGGGAGTCCACAGATCATGCCTGCAGCTACTACAAATTGAGGAATAATAGATCATTGTTCTGGCAGATGTTGGGGGCCCAGTATGAGGCATGGGGAAGGAGGCCTGCTTGTTTGAAGGGATTTTGGGATGGCCTGACTCCTGCATTCAGTTTCCTGAGCACACCCTGAGCAGGCTTCCTGAGCTGAGTGCTCACTGCCCATAGGCCTAGGGTTGTAAGTAGGCCAGGGCAGGGGAGCGTGCTGTACATCGAGCCAGAGAAAACAATCATTTTAGGAGGCCACAGGATCCCAGGCTAGACCGGAGACTGAGACAAAGCAATCTACTTGTATTAGAAGTGTATGGAACAACCTCACTGAGATGTTGCTTCACGTTGCCTGGTTCCATATGCTGTGTTTACACACAGAATCTAGCATGGCCTCTGTTGAGTCCTGTTCTGGTCCAGGGGTCAGTCTGGGGAAAACATTTTTGCAATGAGCTCTCAGAGCCCAGGCTAGAGGCCTACCTGAAGGGAGGGTGTTCCAGAGACTCCACAGAGAATGAACGTAGAGGACATTTTTCTCCTGAAAGGTCCACCTACCTCCACGGCTGACCTCTGTGCCTTTGCAAGAAGGCACTTCTGCCTGCAATCCCCTTTCTTCTCTTCCTGGCTGGAAATCTTCTGTGTCCTTTCAGGTTCAGCTCAGCAGTTCTCCTGTACTGGAAGCTTATCACATTCAACACTATGCGTTAGCAGTGCTTCCCACAACACCTGACACAAAGTGGACGCTTCAGAAAAGGCATTAGCTGAGGGTAACAGAGGAGCAAAGAAGGTTGCAGGCTGTCCCAGCCAAAAGGGCGCATCAGGAGATGACATGGGGAAGAAGGGGGCATCTTGTTAGTAAGGGCAGAGGGTCCCAGAGAAAAGCGAACCGAAAGCCAATGTGGAAGCACAAAGGGCAAAAGGCAAGCAGTGAATGGAGACACAGGAATGTGAATAGGACGGGGCTGAGGAGAGAAGGGAATTGTGTGGGCAGCTGGTTGGTGACCTCTCACAGGCACGTTTCTTCCTGTCTGCCCAAGAGGCCTGGCCAAGTGTACTTGACCTGGGCTTGCCAGGCACATCTCACTGGAGGAGGGGCTCCCAGGAGCCTCCTCCCCACCTGGGAAGCCTTCCTGGAGCCCATGGTGACAGAAGAGGTCAAGGGGGGATAACACAGGGACACCACGGTGGCTCTGTGGGCCCGGACACAGCCTGCCCACTCCACTTCCCAACAGGAAATAGTCCCTACTCCCCTCCCTTTGCTGGGAAGCTTGCTCCAGAAAGGATGCTGACCCACTTGTCCTCAGGGACACCTCCATGATGAAGAGGGGCTCCTTTTTGGGCTCTTGAAGAAGACCAGGGGCAGCTGCAAATCCAAGCAGAACCATACATATTACCTTCTTGGTCTCTTCCATTGCTCCCAGCCTCCACCCCAAGTTCCTTGAGCCCCCAGATCCAGCTATGTCTAGACTCCAACCATCTCCCAGGGAGATCTCAGGAACAGAAAGACTACACATTTACCCAGGTCAACTTAAAGTAGCCAGAAACAAAGGGCCCTCTCAGGAAGCAAGGGGTGCATTTTGCAAGTGGAGTCCCCAGTGATTTCTAATTGGTAGAATTTGGGGTATGGACTTCAGGGAACTTAGAGTGGAGAATTTCAGGATGAGAGAGGGTCAGACTGCAGCCAGCACCTTGTGTCTCCTGGCTGAAGAAGTTGCCAAGCTGGTCCCCCAGGAAGTTTAGTAGGCCTGCCGGCTTTTCCCCTGGATTGAATCCCAGCCGTCCCTCCTTCCACTGGAGTAATGGTGAAACTGGTCTGCGTCTTCTACTTCCATGCTCTCCCCACCCTGCTGCAGCCCAGGGGAGGAGCCCCAGTGGTGTGAGAGTTGGGCCACAGCCACTTCTTTCCCCTAACCCAGGTCTTCCGTGACCAAAGTGTCTGAATGTACCAGGATTCTCTCCTTCACATCCCTGCTCTTCAGAAGCCTGCCCTGCACCCCATCACACTGGAGCCAATGTGAATGTTGAATTGGACAAGCCACCAACTTATCAGAAGGGTGTTACAAATCCAAGGTAGTCTTCAAAACCACGGTCCAGAAATACACTGATGCTTCTGGGACACTGTAACATGTACCCACTCCAAAGCCACATGGGTATGCTTTCTGGCTTGTTTGGAGTCATGCTTTTTCAATCCTGAGCCATTTCATGCCTCTGTATAAGGAATGTTGAGTCTGTAGTAAGATGGCCCTGAAATTTGGTAGCAAGTCAAAGTTTGCTATGGAAGATGACGAGGGCATCAACCTGTGTATGTTCCAGAGTCTTTCCTCAGTGGGTCACTCATGGGTCTGTACACGCAAGCCAGTGCAGCTTTGGGCCTTTGCTCAGGGTGGGACACTGAATGAGGGATCTGAGATTGGCAGCAGATTGGCAGCAGGGTCTTTTGCACTTGCTGGAGAGAGAACAAGAGGGACACCTGGATATTCTGATGTTTTTTAAAATAATTTATTTATTTATTTGACACAGAGAGAGAGAGAGCACAAGCAGGGGGAGCAGCAGGCAGGGGGAGAGGGAGAAGCAGGCTCCCCACTGAGCAGGGAGCCCGACATGGGACTCAATTCCAGGATCCATGACCTGAGCCGAAGGCAGGCACCCCTGGATATTCTGATTTTTATTTCCATAAGAGCACCAGTAGAGTACAGGGCTGGGCCTCCAGTGAAGCTGCGGCAGTCCAGATACATCCACTTCATGAAGATTGGTGATATGAGGCCTTGGGGTAGTCCAGTTCTTCTCTTATATTCCCATGGACAGGCTTATAAGCTCCCCTTGGCAATTTGGCTTGTCAGAGCAAAAGATTACATTGACAATTGGTTTGTGTATTAGTGTTCTGTTCCCTGGGCTGGGCAGCCCTCACAACCTGGGCATGTCTGGAGGACTGTGAGCGGCAGAGCAGTGGGTCAGCTCTGGGACTCCCTGGGACCTCACCAAAGTAGTGCCTGCCATCAAGACTCTGAAATCTGAGCAGCCTGCCTGGTCTCGGTTGGTGAAGTTTTTGAAAGGGCAACAGTACCTGTTGAAATATCTTAACTGACAAACAATCTCAGTCTTAATGCCTGTTTATGGGGAGGTCACCAGTAATTAAGATGGTGCTGGCCAATGTGGCCACTGGCAAGTACCTCTTCTTCACAGAGTGCGGGCTGCAGTTTTAGCAGGACCCCTAGTTGCCTCTTTGCTCCTGTCCCTCTACTAGCTGGATAGCTCAGGGCACATCAGACAAGATTCTCTTTGTCTCAGCTTTCTCTTCTGTATTTAAATGTTCATTGGGAACCTCCTCAGGGGTAGTAGACACTGGACTCTGCAAGGGAACTGGACCAAAAACTCTGGGACTGGGTTCTGGTGCTTCAGTGGCTGACAAACCTGATTCAGGTTACTCATCCTTAAAAGCAGCTCCTATAATAATATCCATTCTCCAGTGGGTTTGGGAAGCCTAATTACCACTTGTGAAACGTTTTCAATTTCTCAGAAGAAAGGTGATACATCACGGTAAGGTATGACTATCATAATAATTGTGATCTTCTCAAGCTGCCCCCAGGGATAACTCATATAAAAACTGCCATCCATGAAACTCTGTTATTGTAACAAAGTACAACTATTATCCATAATGATACTAGACTAATGTCTAAGGTATTGCTGTGCTCATGGAAAACTCTTAAATAAGCCGGAAGTGAAGAAGGTAGACTAGGTCACCTGCCGTGAACTTATCCAGTTAATTCCAAAAGTAAATAGACTTTTAAGGAGGTAGGAACCGGAAAGAGCACCAGAGAGCAAGAGCATTCTCTGAGCACTTGGTGTGGACCAAACAGTGTTATGCACACTATCTTATCCAAGTTTAGGAAGTCGGTTTTATCATCTCCATTTTGCAGAGGAGAAAAATTGAGGCCAAAGATGTTGACTTGTCCAAGGGAGATGAACCTGTCAGTTATAAATAGGATGGTCTGGAGTGGAGGATGAGGCCAGGTGAGAAGTGACCCCAAAGTCTAGGCAGGGGCCAAGGAGTCTCTGAACTAGGTTAGCAAATGGGAGGATGACTACCAGATTTCCAGTTTGGCATGAGCCCGTAAATAGGTCTGCTGCCAACGGAGAGGGCAACCCAGGAGGGTAAGGCGGTTAGGAGGAAAGATGACTGTGGCGCAGGGTAACCTGAGTGTGGGACCGCCAGCATGTATCCATATGCCGGCCTGGGCCTTGGGAGGGAAATTGAGATGCAGACTTGGGAGTCACCGACAGATCTAACAGGTGAAGCCTGGGATGAGAACGCCAAAATGCAACGAGTCACCGTGGTCACTATCCCCCTTCCCGCCCAGGCTCAGGGGAAACTTCCCGAAGGCAGCGCAGACTAAGGTGACAGGTGTCTGCGAAGACCTCCCCGTGGGATTCCTGGGTGGCGCGCTCCCTTCCCGCAGGCCTGCGCCGAGTCGGCTTCCCTGCTCGGCTCTCCGCCGCCTCCCCCAGGCTCCCCGTCTCTCCCAGCCTCCACGTACCCCGCGCCGTCCCCAGGGCCGCGGCCTCCGGGCGCCGCCAGCCAGGAAGGCGGTGTCGCACGCGGCTCGCGGCGCTTCCCGGGACGGCGGGGCGGGGCTGGGGCGCATGCGCCGCTGCCATACGGAAGCCCGGAAGGAGGGGAGGGAGGCGGTGGCTCAGGTTTCTCCGGGCGGCGGCGGCGGCGGCGGCGGTGGCGGCGGCGGCGGCGGCGGCGGCTGTGGTGGGGACGCGGCTCGCGCCGGCACCATGAACCCGCTGTAACGCGCAGGCAGCGCGGCGCGGGGGGAGGGGGGAGGAGGAGGCCGCCGCGGCGAAGTTCTCCGCCATGAACCTGAGGGGCCTCTTCCAGGACTTCAACCCGAGGTGAGGCGCCGCCGGGGAAGGCGCGGCGGGCGTGAGGCTGCGGCGGGCGGCGGGGCAGCTCCCCGCGGTGCGAGCGGCTCGCTGGGCAGTGCTTCCCGCTCCCGGTGCCTTCAGCAACCCCCCCGCCCCGACGTCGGCCCCGCGGGAACCGCGTTCCTCTCGGCCAGCCCACCCTCGCTGCTGGCCCAGCGCCCCCTTCCCGTCGCCTCTTCCCGCACCCCGCTGCCAGTTCTCCGTTCCCCGCACCGGGGCCGTTTCGCTTGACCCAACACCCCTCCCCCCCCTCCCCCCAGCTGTTTCCTCCAGTTCCTCTGAGCCCTTGAGGTTTTCCTTGGATGTATGCCCACCCCTCGCTTGTTTGCTGCTTTGTGGAGTGATATCTGAAACGACGTTGAATCCTCGGAGTCAGTGTCAGGGTATGGCAATACCTTACATAATGCCTCTGGGGATGAACCTGACGATTTTCCATACGCGGTTTCTCATCAGTCTTCACTGTAAGTTTATTTGCAGGAAGTAGATAGTATTGTCCTATTTCCCAGCTGGGGAATATCCAGTGGACAGTGTGGAGAGAACACTGATTAAGGAATGGAGCGCCTGTCCTTGCACTTGCCCAAGTGTTCTGTAACTCTCTTCCCTCCCCCAGGCTGTGTGCTCCCTGAAGCAGAGACTGTCTCCTGCACATCTCACTATCCCCAGCACCTCCCACGGCATTTGAAACAGAGCAGGCCCTTATAAAATGTTTGTGGAACTAAACTGAGCCAAAAGATCTGGATTGGGGACCAGGCCCCATGTGACTGAGTTACATATTCTCTGCTCATCTGAAAAATAAGGAGTTGGCTTAATTGATCTTCTAAGACCACTAGTTTGTGAAGGGAGTACCTGTTTCCCTTAGTTGCTGGTGGGAAGCTGTGCCCTCAGTCAGCCTTTTGTATGCTAGGTCCTAGGCAAGGTGCTTCAGATGCTGGGAGGTTCCAGCTTGTGGATGGAGAAAGACAAGTAAATAGATGATTTACAGCACTGTGCGGTGTTGTACTGTGGGAGCCCAGTGGAGACCACTGCCTGCGCTGCTTGTGGGGGGTGAAGGGAAGTCTTGGGAGCGCAGTCTCCCTGGGGACAGTGCCATTTTAAGCTACAAGTAATTGTGGCTTCCTAGGTGCTCTATTCCTCTTTGAGCACTGATGAGTTCATATTCTAGTCTGGAGTGCTAATGTCCCAATCACAGTGCAGTCATTATCGTTGTTGGCCTTGAAGGCATTCTGCATCGAGAAGCATGTTGAGAGGAGGTAAGGGAGAAGGGACTGCAGCACCTTCCTCTGCTGCTTCTAGGGGTGAGGATTGATCTACAGGGTAGCAGGATTGGCACTGGAGTTGGAAGGGCCTTGTGTGTCTACACTGGCAAGGGTGGTAAGGAAGATAAGTAAAACCTGAATTGTTTTGTATCCTTGAGCCAGTCGCTTACCTGTTTTATCTGTAGAATGAGTATAATCTCAGCAGGATGGGAAGCCAAATTAATGATTGATTGCAAAGTGCTTTACACATAGATAGTTCCAGGACTATTTTGCAAGATGACAGATAATTCAGAACCCAAGAACTGCCTCAGGTGTTCTAACTGGCTAACAGTTGTCAAAGCACAATAGTGCTGCACAGAACATCCTTAACCATTTTCTTTTCCTGTAGCTTCTCCCCCACCCCCAAAAATTTGGTATATGAAAATTACAATGAAATATTAGCTATCTAAACAGATTTATAGTAACCATCAATATATTTATCAACACTTTAATTCTACTGGGATTGAAATGCATCTCTAAGTTTAAAGACCTTTCTTAGGGCGCCAATTTCCTGATACAGTGTTGCTTCAGTGGGAGTGAGCAGTGTTGCCTCACAGTGGTGACTGCTAAGACAGTGGTCAGGTAATATTGGCAAGTCTGATTTTTTAGCTAATGATGTGTCATGTCTCATGGGCACACCTAGTTTTTGACATTGTTGGTTAGTCTTGTTCCATGCTGAGGAGGGCCTTCTAGACAGCTGGAGTGCAAACCAGGGGGTGTAGACAGGAAGATACCTGGGGCCAGGGCCTCTAACCTTGGTGCTGCTGCCTTTATCCCTGCCTCTAATTTGGAGCCAGTTCAACATCTCCCTCCTACCCCTGGACCTTGGCACATGCTGTTCTCGTTGTCAGGAATGTGTCCCTCTCCTCTCCTCCTGACCTAGTTAACTCTTATTTATCCTTGAGATCTCAGCTCACTTGTTACTTGCTGAGAGAAGCCTTTCTGACTTGCCTAAGTCCAATGATACCTGTTTATACAATTTCTGTAGCATGCTGAATTCTTCCATTATAGCACTTATTTGTACCCTTATATTTGTATGCTTATTTGATTAATGTCTGTCTCCCCTGCTGAACTATAAGCTCCATGGGGCCAGGGCCATTATTCTGTCCATTATGGTATCCTGTATACCTGCAATAGTACCTGACTTATTAAATATTTGTGGAATGAATGGATGGATGAATGAATGAATGACTCTCCAGAGCCTATAGGAGAAATCTAAAATGGCTTCTTCCAATCACTGCTTTCCTGGTGATGGTCTATGGCCTGGTCTTCCTTCTTCTCATCTTCCCTCCTTCAGAATGCAGCCATTCCATTAGAGAGACAGGAAAGACCATGACACTAAGGCAGAATGTGGCTGCCTTTACTTTGTGGATTATGTGTGTCACAAAAATAGTCACTATCATGGTTTTATGGTTCCCAAGGCAGGGGCCATGGCTCCAGCTCTCCTTTACAATCTTTTGATCTTGGTGAGTCTGAACCCACTGCTGTATTGCGCAGGCTCTGGAAAACTGCAGTAGCAGAGAATGATTCACAAATGTCAGTGCTCAGGTGCACAGGGCTGCCGGCTGACCCTCTGCCTATTTCCCTCTGGCAGAGAACTGGTTGATCGTGAGCTTCTTTTTAGTTACACAGGTTAAGACTCGCTGAAACAGGCACACTGGACCCACCAAGTCCTTGTCTGAATGCCTGAGGCTTCCTAACATAACAGCAAGGGAGCCTTACTCATTGAACAGGCAACTACCAGCAGTATACAGAATTGGCCGACTGATTCTGAGGTGCTTGTAGGAGGCGGGGATTTGGGAGTAGGTGGCATTAAGCCAGCACCCTGGCCACACCATGGAGCCTTGGGATTTTCTGCTAACTTGCTGGAGTTGCTGGCTTGGAGAAGTCCCTTCAGCCCTGGTAGCCAGACAGTGCTGGAAGGCTGTGAGAACTCTGCTAGGCTCTCTGAGTCATCTGCACTGAGCTCCTGACGGTGAGGTGCATCCCACAGGTGTGCTGGACTGGGACGAAGGCTGAGGGATGCTGCTCTGGATGTTCTGTCCTGTGAGCATGGAGTACTAAGGAGGTCGGTAGTGTTTAGAAAGTTCCATATGCTGCAACTTCTAAAACCATTCTATGTAAGTTGTCTCTTCTTTGAATTTAGGAAAAATAGATGCGATTTCTGGTAATCGTTAACAAAAGACAGCTGGCTGGCCTTTACCAGTCATTTGTAAAATATTTATATTTAAAGCATTCATTTGGGCGCCTGCGTGGCTCAGTCATTAAGCGTCTGCCTTCAGCTCAAGTCATGATCCCAGGGTCCTGGGATCGAGTCCCACATCGGGCTCCCTGCTCGGCAGGAAGCCTGCTTCTCCCTCTCCCACTCCGCCTGCTTGTGTTCCTTCTCTTGCTGTCTCTCTCTCTGTCAAATAAACAAAATCTTTAAAAAAAAAAAAAAAGCATTCATTCATCAAACTTCTCCTGAGTTCCTACTGTGTGCCAAGAGATGTGCTAGGTGCTTTAAGTACAAAAATAAGTGAGATATAATTCCTCTCCATGCCCAAGCCTGGCAGGAGAAGCAGAAATGGGAAGAGAAATTAGAATTCAACACAGGAAGAGACATTCCAGAGACAGGAACCAAATGCTGTGGGAGCACGAGGGGCAGAACCTCCACTTCTGTCAGAGCAGTCAGGGAAGGTTCCACAGCTGTCTTGAGGGATATAATTGTAGGGTTTTTTCAGCCCAGAGGGCAGGGAAGGCAAGTTAGGAGGGACAGAGGATGCCGAGGCACAGGGTTCATGAGAGGGCCTGGCATGCTCAGACAGTGGTGACAGGTCTGTGTGGTGGCAGCGCCGCAGGTGACACACGTCATATGATTTAAAAATAGTACCTGTAGTGTGAATGATTACTGCAAATATCATTTACATATTACTGAGTTTTTTTTAAAGCCACTCCAGATCCATTAGAGGTGAGCGCATGTTGGTACTGTTCATGAACTACTCACTCACCACCCAAATGTCTGTTTATCTGTCGTTCTGTCATCTTAAGCCACCCAGAGTAAGAAAAACCTCTCAATTATATTGAGGTTGTTATTAATAATGGGTATGACTTATGGGGCGTCTAGCACGGGTTGGGCACAGTGTCGGTGCTTTCAGCATTATCTCAGATCTTTGCAGCAACCCTGCAAGTTAGATGATCAGCCCTGTTTCGCAGTCTTAGCGAGCTTGTGACTTCCCTTGAGTCTCACAGGCCGCAAAGGGCCAGGTCAGGATTCTAAAGTGAGTCAGTCAGTCTCTTTCTGAAGCCTGCGCCCGTTCCTGCATGCCATGCTACCTCTCTAATTTAGTGACAGGCCCGCCCATGCCACATTGGGTCCAATATCCCAAGGAGCCTTCTATTTATGAGTTGTGATTACACAAAGCAAACCTTATATCTGAGCTTACACATCCAAATGAGTGTTATCCCTCAAAGAGGTTACTTAGGAAAAAGAGGAATATGTATATACCTATTCCACTGCTCATATTCCTTGTTACTCATCTGAAATTTCCTTTGGAGTCAGATTATAAATCATATAAGGAAATCCGTCTCATTGCTTTGTAATCATGGATCATTTTTGAACCAAAATAGTGCCACCTAGTTTGATCATACATCTTATTCACTAAACTTGGCTCTGACTGACTTTTGGCCATT